CCTGCGCCGACGACGACGCGGGCGCGAGGCGGCCGCCCGCGCCCGAGGAGCCGCGGCGCGACGACGCGCGGGCGACGGAGCTGGCGCGCCGCGCGGACCGCGCGCAGCGCGGCGACGCGGCGAAGCGGCCGTACGACGTCCTGGGCGTCGACCCGTCCGCGTCCTCCGGCACGATCCGCAAGGCCTACCGGACCCTGTCGCTGCGGTTCCACCCGGACAAGAACCCGGGCCTCGAGGCGCTGGCGACGGACGCCTTCGAGGCCATCGCCGCGGCGTTCGCGTTGCTCAGCGCCCCGGACGCGCGCATGAAGTTCGACGACTTCGGCGAGTCCGGCGAGGACTCCTTCGACAGCTTCAGCACGCAGTGGGAGTGGGAGGCCTACGGCGACGCCAAGCAGAAGGACCAGACGTTCTACGGGCGGGACCCCTTCATCGCGAATTTAGACGGCGAGGCGTCGTGGACGCGGCGCCTCGGCGCGAACCGCGGCACGGTCTGGGTCGTCGAGTTCTACGCGCCCTGGTGCGGCGCCTGCAAGGCCTTCGCGCCGACGTACAAGGCGGCGGCGCGGCGCGGCGCGGCGCGGGAGGGGGCGGCCTGGGAGGCCGTGGAATTCGGCGCGGTGAACTGCGCGCGGAACGCGAAGATCTGCAACGACTGGTACGGCATCCGCGCGTACCCGACGGTGCTCGCGCTCAACGAGGTGCTGGGCACGCGCACGGAGTTCTTCGGCGACAAGACCGAGGACGCGCTGCTGGACTGGGTCGGGAAAGTCGCGGACGAGTGGCGCTTCCTGGCTTCCGCGGCGGACGTGAAGCTGATCGCCGACGCCGACGACTATCGAGCCGCGATCCTGAACGCGACGCGCTTCGCGGTCGTCGCCTTCTCCGACGGCCTGGACTGCGTCGCCTGCAAGACTGCGCGCACGAACCTGCTGCGCCTGTCCGCGTCGCTCGCGAGCGCGGGCGACGCCGACTCGCGGCCGCTCGTCGCGTTCGTCGACTGCGACGCGCCGGCCCTCGCGCGGCTCTGCTACGACGACGGCGACGAGTGCGAGGGGGACGCGGCGCTCTGCCACGGCCTGCCGCCGCCGCCCCACGCGCCCGTCGTCAAGGCCTTCGCCGCGGGGCGGCGCAAGGGCCGCGGCGAGCAGCTCTACAACCCGAACGAGGTCGAGCCCCACGTCGCCGTGGCCATCGTCGAGCGCGTCGCGCGCCTGGCCCTCGCGCGCGACGACGACGGCGCGGCGGGCCTCGCGGCGGGCGCGGCGGACTGGTCCAAGGACGACGAGCGGCCCGAGCCGCCGCCGCCGCCGCCGCCGCCGCCCATGTGGAACGGGCCCGCGCCGCGCCGCGCGGTCTCCTGGGGCGGCGGCGGCGGCGGCGGGCCGCGGCGGGCGGCCATAGGTGGATAGGGGGGGAATTTGTTTTTCTTTTGGTCTTCGGCGGCGCACAGGTAGGCGGAGTGTGGCGAGCGGCCGGGGAGTCCCTCCAGCGGCAGCGTCATTGCGCCGTCAACTTCGGTTCAGGACGATTGGTCGACCTCTGTGAGAGCGGCCTGTGCTGGCAATGAGCATCTCCCACTGTCTAGGCCTCGCGCTGTGCTTCGCGCTGGCCGCGGCCTTCGTCGCGCCGCGCACGGCCGTCGTCGTTTCGCCGAGCCGGCTCAGCAGCGCGCCGAGCCGCCGAAGCGCCGCGCCGCGCCGCCGAAGCAGCGCCCGCTTCGCTTCGGACGACGGCGACGACGTCGACTTCGAGGCGGCGTTCAAGGCACGCGTCGCCGACGATGGCGGCGCGCTCGGCGTCAAGGCGAAGGTGTTGAAAAACGAGGCGGGCCGAACGGCGTCGTCCGTCGCGTCGTCCGCGCGGGACGCGACGAGGTCGAGCGGGCAAAAGGTGGCGAAGGGGCTCGGTCTGGAGCCGCTGACGCGTCGCGAGTCCGCGGGCACGGCTGCCGAGGAGGCGGATCTGCTCACGGCGGGCGGCTGGGCCGCGACGGTGGGCGCGCTCGGGCTCATCGTCGTCTTCGCGTGCTATACGCAATCGCAGATCGACCCGGACCTCTGGACGCAACCTGTCTAGGGACATGCCGGGCTAAGCGCCAATAGTCCCAGTAGACACTCCCGGCCCAGGTGCGATCGGCGGGCCGGCGCGCGTCGCCGCGGCCGTGCCGTGTGCCACGGTGTGGGCCTCGAGGCTCGACGTGCGAATGGCAACCGATGCGGCTTCCACAGCCGCCGCCGTGGCGCTCTTCCCGCAGGCGTTGGTGCCCATCGTCGTGGACCTCGACGTCCGCGGCGTGCGCTACGTCGACTCGTTCCTCTGGACCACGGGCGCGAGCTGCATGACGCCGGAGGCCTACGCGGCGCAGACCTGCGACGACCTGGACCTGAGCGTCGAGATGGGCCACATGCTCGCGGACGCCGTGCGCGCGCAGGTCGCGCACGCGCTCACGCTCATCGCGCACGCCGCCGCGCGCGAGCGCGCGGGGCGGCCGCTGCTCCCGGGCGCGGTCGTGCTGGTCGTCGACGTGACGAACGGCGGCAAGCGGTTCTGCGACGAGTTCCGCTGGGACACGCGCGCGCCGCGCGACGCGCCCGAGGCGCTCGCGCGGCGCACGTGCGACGACATGGGCCTGCCCTCGCCCTTCGACGTGGCCATCGCCTTCGCGCTCCGCCGCGAGCTCCTCCGCGCGGCGCTCGGCGCCGTCGCCGCCGAGAGCTCGGCGACGCCCCAGCGCACGCAGCCCATGCCGGGCGGCGCGGACCCGCGGCACTGGCGGCCGCGCGCCGCGGGCGAGGACGCGGCGCCCGCGCCGCCGGAG